CACTTGGTGCGGCACTTGTTGACACTATGTGACGTCCTGTTTTTGCACTTTATTGAGCGGCGAGACTGACGAAATATGAAAAAGGTCACTTGAAGCGAGAGAAGTTGTCTCAGTCACCCGGTTGTCCAGATCAGTGTAGGTCACAGGTACACAGAACAATGACAAAGGTCACTTTGGGAATATCGATCGGCTTTGCTGGCCACAGTGGAACAGACACAAGAGCGACAGCGAGCGGCAGCAATGATTGCACTGAACTGCACAAACATATCCGTAGAATGCTTGAAATTGAACTTAGAAAGCTCAATCAGGGCTTGTTGGAAAGATTGTTGAATTTCCTATCGAGCGATATCACAATGTTGACACAGCGAATAAAATTGCACAATTTCGCACGCGTGAGTAAATCCCAAAGCTTTGATGATAACAGAAAAACTGCTCAGTGGAGAGATATGAGCAATTTACTTCCAATTGGATGATATCACAAGATAGAGCTCACAGAACTGGATCGAACGAACGTAGATTCGACGATGTACGACGAGATTTCGCAGAAAGATTCCGATTAAACCGGGAGTGCACAATTTGATCGACCGCACGTCAGCATGCACTGCTTCTGTTTTTCATTACACTATTCGCAAACTATCGGAACCAACGGATCGGTGTTGTCTTTGCTTCAAAATATTGTGATGTCTTTAGCACTAGAGCATTTTTTTTAATAAGGAATCTAGTGTACGAATACATACAGTTCATGAATATAGTTATCTTTAACAAAGGGCTGCACTGGGTGTCGAAAAATAACGAAAATCTGAAGATTGGATACACAATCATTAAAAATGACATTAGTTAGGAGTGAAACGTTGATTTTTCCTCCAGTATTTGTTAGTTTGTTCCAAACAATATGCTCAAAATTTTTAGGAAGATATTTGCTCGTTGAATTTATTTTTTATGTATTAAGTACTATGGTCATCAATTTTGTTTAATGGCACGTGTGTAAGTTTTTTTCACAGATATCCATTTATATATGCCTAATCAGTTCCTGTATAGCAATTTTGAACACCCGTTTTTGTGATGTCATAAGGATGAATCCAGTTCCTGTTCTGTTTAGATTCAATCATTTTATAATATCAAATTCAGTGCGCTTCACAAACGTATTTTGAGGAGAGGAGAAGTACTCGGATCTAATCGTCCCCAACAATCAGTTTCAGGCAAATACCTCTCTAATATGAACTGTGTCCTTTCCCCTGTTGCCGGAATAACGCGGCAATGGAAAGGATATTTGGTATCCTCATTCAAAATATAAATCAATAAAACAGGAACTAGATGGACAAGAGAGTAATGGCGCAAGCTAACAGTAACATCAGACAGAAATGTTATCGATTGGTTTGTTGGAAAATCCCATCTGGCACGGCATAAATGTTTCGATTTTTCCAATCGATTTACCTGAATCTAAGGCATAACGTATCCAATGCAGACCACGCCCTTTTGTGTCAGTAAAAGTTTGTTAGCTCAATTGAGTTCATTTATTATCCGGTTGAGTTCCTACGCAGTTCACGTAGCTGTTAAACATATCTATCTGTCTATCTATCTATCTATCTATCTATCTATCTATCTACCTCTTTTTTCATAACAGATGGTAACATAATCCTAGATTCGTATTTCTGATATTCATCTATTGCGATATCTGCATATTATAACAACTTGAAAATCAACGGCGAAACGTACCGAACAAAACACCATAATGCCACATTTTATTTCTGGTACGTGCCTCGCAGCGGTGATTCAACAGTATGGTTAACTAACTCAAGCCCTAGTATCACTCTTAATTTTACACTCATTTGTAAGCCTTGGAGAGCCTCATACTTACTGGTTCTCCGTTCTTAAAAACCTGTTTTGGATAAATATCTTGTCCACAAAATGAAATCAACGATGGGATCACAATTAACATTATATGATAAAAGGAAACAATGAAGATTTTTGGAATATCTTTTAGTGGCCAAATTTTCTTAAATGTGTTTTTCTACTTTGCTCAGTGCCCAGTGAAATAAGGTTCTATGCACTGAAGGTTTTCAGACAACCGTTGAGACACCGTAGAACACTAAACAATCAACACTCCAAGTTGCCTTCCGGGGATTGTATATTGCTCACTTTGTTACGGGCATCAGATACTCAATATACCTGAAGAAACGTAAGGTCAGCATTACACAGCTTCATAAAATGCATTTTTTTCACTGAAAATATAGCGGACATAACAACAGTAATTAAAATCCCGTCGTCTGTAAAGATTGGAATATCGCTGACTCAACTTTGACGTACAAAAAGGTTTTGTGTTATCACATGATCGACTTCTATTGATTTTACGAAACAATATCGGCTGAACCGAATCCTGAAGGGCGTCCCATAGCCACAAAATCGATTGATATGTTAGAACTTTCTTTAAATTAGTAGCAAATACCTAGGGTAAGATAATTATATCTGTGAATAATTTCAGACCGCTTGCAGAAACTAAAATCACATGAATAATTAGGTGTGTCGGGAAGTGGGACAATCTTAATTAGGTTGTCTGAATCGATCAAATACAAAAAGCGAGCTCACTGAGACGTGGTTCGAGTTACCAAATACATCCATTTGCATTGCTCCGTCCCAATAAACTGGAACCGAGTGTCTCATGATTCAGTTTACATTATCTGTGTTTAATGAAATTTTTAAACAAACTGCAGAGCGATGCAGACTTTTCATTGGTGACATTTTTACCGCTCAATTAAAAACAGCAGTCTCGTTCCCATTTTGTTTGCAGTCTATGAGAAACTCATACTGCGAATTTATGAACTCAGAATATCACCACAGGTTTGAGAATATGAACGACATTATCTCATTGATCACACATTTTGTTTTGTTGAAAGCAAAAACTCCTTCTCTCATTTTACAAACCTGGATATTGTTCTGAACTGACCCTGTTTTGGAGTAGGAAAATAATGTTTCAATGGATATGGAATGCCCAGCCGGGATTGTTGTTGCTTTCCACTCTCGAGTCGGCTTTATGAGTCGGATTCTCATCGGCTCTGTCGTCGCTAAGTTTCGAAACCGTATTTCTCCCGAGGGGTGTGGTGAGATTCGACATATGATTGTTAATACCGAGCGCATGTCAATTAAGAGTCCTATCTCTGCTATGATCAATGTTCAAGCTTGACATAACTCCACTCCCTGCGTCCTTCTGATAGGTTGATATCATTGACTTGTCATCTGACGAGAATAGGTCGCATCACAGATGCACCTGAATTGATTGACAATCACAGATAAGGTCAACGTAGGCGGTTTACCTTTGTCCCCCTGACAAACAAAATTTGTCTCGTTCACACCCTATATCACAGAGCGCATGAATTATGCTCAGAGGACTCTTTAAACGATGAAATTGACCTCTGCACGCAAACGGATATCAATTTGCATTCATCGCATTGCATTACAAAGCAACACACAAAGTAGAGAAACCAATAACTGCTCCAAAAATGAAAACTTCTTTGAAGTTATCATACATAGACAATGACATGAATGAATTAGTCAGCAAGCGGTTGAACTGTGCCGTCACGCGCGTCTACTACGCAGTTGACCCGGTCATTGTCTTCACTACGACCCGGATACCATCGACATCGGTGAAAGAACCATTGGACCCCTCCGCCAAATCAAACTGCGTTTACCAATTCTAGTGCCGATGCTCAGCCATCTATACATAGGCAAGACAGATGCCATTACGTCACCGAATGGCCGAACACATTCCGGTGTGATAGACGACAAGTTCAAAACTGTTGCGTCATCG